TTGTGCATACAGAAGTTGTAGAGCTCATTCTCAAGGTACATTGGCAGCCTTAATCTGACGAGCATTGTTGCTTTAGAAGTTATTGATTTTCAGATTAATTTCTTTTTATGTTGCAGAGTGGCAGTAAGGTGTCCATTTCTGCTACGCCCTTTGAGAATACATCTATTAAAGTTGGCCCTGCACGCAAAACCAGCCACAAGTCCAAAATGGCCCGGCGCAACAAAAAAACCAAAACCAGAGAAGGACAAGACAGGTGAAGTCTAACGTTTACCATCAAATCCCAATACTTAAGTCACACAAAGTTCTTCCCATTTCAGTTCCTCAGACTTACATTTGCTGTCCCATTTATGGTTTGTATATACTTGTATGTCCACTACAGTAAGAAGAGAAACTCCCTGTTTCGTAAGATCACCAAGCAGGCGACCCTTCTCCACACCAGTCGTAGCCTGTCCTCTCTGAACCGCTCAGTCTCATCAGGTGAAAGTGTCCCAGGGTCTCCCACACACATGTCCCCTCGTTCACCCACACAGGGCTGTCGTTCCACACCCGACTCTGCCCATTCAGGTGAAGCTCCATACAAACAAATGCCAATATGATTTTGATGCACGTAATGTCATGTCAAATCATGTTCTCATTTCATTTAAAGTTGTCGTAGATGATACAATATTGTAATTAGTTCCCCATTATGAAATCAATATCCTGTCTTAAGTAATTTCATTCATCTTCATAGTTCTTTTTAAAAGTTTAATCTTTAACCTTAAACTTTCTCTTTCTCTAATGCAGTTGGTGCGAACTCATCCCAAAGTAGCTCACCTAGCTCCAGTGTGCCAAACTCTCCTGCCAGTTCTGGTCAGATCAGACCCAGCTCCTTGCATGGTCTGGCTCCCAAACTACAGCGCCAGTACCGCTCCCCCCGCCGAAAGTCAGCAGGCAATATCCCATTATCCCCTCTGGCTCGTACACCATCACCCACCCCTCAGAGCACCTCCCCACAGCGTTCTCCTTCACCCCTGCCAAGCCACTCACTCATCACTTCTTCAATAGGCCAGTCTTTCCCTGTCAAACTCCACTCTTCACCTCCATTAGTAAGACAGATATCCCGCCCAAAGAGTGCAGACCCTCCTCGCTCTCCTCTGCTCAAACGTGTCCAATCAGCTGAGAAGCTTGCAGCCTCTCTTTCTTCTTCATCCTCCTCTCCTTCTCCATCCTCTGCTGCTGATAAAAAGCTGCCAGTTGGTGCCAGCCGCAAACACAGTCTTGATAC